GTTACATCCTTTTTTTGAAATAGCACTGATGGCTTTATCAACAAAAGATTTATTTTTAAAACTTCCTAAATGATTCAGATTTACATAGTTATAAGTTTCAATACTTTTTAATAATGCCACAGACTATTGCATCTAATGCTAATATTAATCTAGTGGCATTATGGGTTTTGTCGTCAGAATACAGCAGTTTCTCTGATTGTTTTTTTTTTAGAAGTTGAATATTGATTGCGGTCTTATTGTATTCCGTACGACCTTGTACTAGAGCACAAAGATAGAGAAATCCAATGGTGCCTAGCCGGTTCTTGATGTCACGACCTCAGATTTAGTGTCACACTCCTTATTAAGCAGTTATACCTAAAAAAAACAATAATTCTCGCCAAATATTATTTTATATATTACTAAAGGCGATATAATACATAAACACTGGTTAAGTGATTTTTTTCCATTTCCATTAAAAACGCTATTTATTAATTAACTATTACATATTGGTTAAAGATTGAAGCTCAGATTAGAACATATTTTAACTATCACATTGTTATTTGTTCGTAAAGTATTACCATCTCATATATACTTATACAGTAATTATATAATACTTATAATAAAGAGGCACAATTTGTATGCATGTTTCTAACGAATAAACTCAAACAGGACAGATTTGAAAAATTCTTCCATCATTAGAATGGTACATTATCTCCGAGCATATATTTTTTAGCTAAATTTGTTTTTATTTCACGGAGTAATTTTAATCTAGTTACACAAAACACACTCCCTAGTTTGGGGACTAGCGTTAGATCAATTTTGTCACAACTATGTCAAGAATAAAGGTTTATTTATTTCCTGCTTTGCTTTTCCTATTAAATAGGAAAAATAATCTTTTTAACATTCTAAATGAATCGATCAATCAGCCTATACATATATCAGTGGGTTCGTTAATGCCCTGTCTATCGGCGCGTTTTGTGCCAAATGAAATGTGTCGAGAGTTGTTTCACGGACGATTGGCTTGACAGCCTCTCCCTGTGTGTTTGAGAAAGCTTTGACACACATGATGACAATAAATATAGAGTAAATTAAGATATATTGTTGTCACTTAATAGGATAGTCATTGTATTGTCTTTGATTGGCATAACTTTTACACATTTAAAGAAAACACTTTTTTACCGGATTGAATCTTTAGTCGATACCAACTCCGGGGAAATAAATACAGATAATACAACTTTTTCTACAGCTGTGTTACTTTTTGACATTCAACACCTTTTGTCTTCAGTCACCGTGACCACGCACGCTGTAAAGCACGCGAAACGTCGGATAAATTTAAAATTATGTAAAATAATTGTAAATTTTTAGTAATACATAACTTCAATCCGGTAAAAAGTGTTTTCTTTAAAGAAAAGTCATTGTTAATAGTAACAACTATGACTTATTTTATTAATTACTTAAGAAGAGCAAATTAAGTACGTTCGCATCAGCGTGAAACTCTTAACGCTGAGGTTCCAAACCAACCTTTGTCATTAGACAAAGATCTTTCTTTCTGTGCGTTTTAGCTTTCGCCATAACCTCTTAGGGTATTATCGTTAGACTGTTTCAGTGTTTTCAAACGTGAGGCCCACGGGGCAATGGGATTGTTAAGAGGGGGAAGCGAAATCACCTGGATATAACAACGTAGAGACTTGAGAAGAAGCTAACCAAATTGGCACCTAATATGAAATCTCTGTGCAGCAAGCGTCAAGCGCAAGGATCTCACTAAATTAATATAGAAAAATCTTTATTAAACATTATTTCGAATATGAATTTCAGTTATTCATTATGTTTTGAAAATTTAATGTGTTTCTTTAACAATTTAGTAGTAGTAGTATTGCTTCCTAAAACCTGTCATTTAAGTTTCTTAATTGAATTAAATTTTTAATATTGAAAAATTAAGTATGTTACATATATACATAAGAATTATAAAGGCTACCGTGGTACCGTGAAAAATACTGTTTGTTTAAGTATGTCAATTGCCTGAATAAGTAAAATAGCAATAAACAAATGAACAAATATTATTTATTCATATCGGTAACACACTGTACACTTATGAACGTCAAAAAAGAAATATACTTTAAATGCTTCTAATTTTACATCTACTGCCAGTTCTCAATTCAAGGGCGTAGAACGGAAGATAAGAACTGGCAATAAACTCTCCGCCACTCTTTTTAATTGCCAAGTTTTTTTATTTACACAATGTATGTAATGAGCTGCAACCATTGTATTGTCTTTTATTGACCGTCTTCAGTCAACGTGACCACGCACGCTGTAAAGCACGCGAAACGTCGGTTAAATTTAAAATTATGAAAAATAATTGTAAATACATAACTTCAATCCGGTAAAAAAAAAATTTATTACGAGCTGCAACCATTACACCATGTTCCACGTTTCACTAGCAAAATAGCAATAAACAAATATTATTTCGTGTGTATTAAATTTATTATCCATTGTATAACCTCAAAACGAAAATAAAATTACATTAATGCCTTCAATAAGTTGGCAAATATGTTAGCAATTCACAATCGTGTTGTTCCAGCTGAACGAAATTTGATGATAAAAAATATAAATGGACACAAGATGACAGTAGCAATTTGCAATATGCGGTTAACAAAACATCTTCAGACATATTTTAAGAGTCAATAGGCAGGCAATGACCCTAATGAGTGGGTTACAAAAATAATGTTCGACGATTTATCGGTGCGCGCGCGCACAGATTTATTTGACGCGATGTGTTGCGCGGACGCACGGGCGGTAATCCCTTTGCTAGGGTTGGTTATACATGAGTTAATACAAATACTAGGTTAGTACGATTACTTCGAGGAGCTATACTCAATATATTAAGTAGGTATCACATAGCGATTTATAAAAATAAAAATAAATCAGGGCGCTAAGCCTTTTTAGGTCTGGGCCTCAGATTTCTGTATCTGTTTCATGATCATAGCGATTTATACTCATGTCTAAGGGTAAGACTTAGGCATACCTAGACTAAGTATGACATTCGTATGTCAAAAACGTAATACATTTTGACATACTTGAGTCATAGTTCGCGCTAAGTGTCGTCTGAATTTTATCATAAGTCTGTATGTCTACATATTATTAAATTACAAATTTTTAAGTTATATACGCGTTTTAGAATCTTGGTTGTATATTTAAATTTAGCAAGGACTTTAAAAACCGTATGTATTGAGCATATTAAAATATTGTACAGTGACAACCCTAACACAGATTGTAGGGAAAATAATTTAATGAAGACGTAGACCGTTTCAGAGCAGATTCTCATAAACAGACACACGTACAGATTACGAGTATGTAATGAATACTTAGCACTTGAAATACTTGCGCTCGCGTCGATTGGAAATATCAAATTAACTGATACACCTAATCGATTGTCTAAAAGAGGTATTGAATTACTAATGCCAGTACGATTTTGCCAAAATGTTTTTTTAGTGGTAATATATTTCTATGATACATAGCGGTTTAGTAATATTCAAGGTGGAAATTTTTCGTTAAAAGGAATATAAAATACCTTCTTGTATCAATAAAAAGGAGGGCAGAGTTGGCCTAGTGGCTTCAGCGTGCGACTCTCATCCCTGAAGTCGTATATTCGAACCCCGGCTGTGCAGTAACGGACTTTCTATATGCGCATTTAACATTCGCTCGAACGGTGAAGGAAAACATCGTAAGAAAACTTTGCCTTAGAACCAAAAAGTCGACGGTGTGTATCAGGCACCGCAGGATGATCACCTACTTGCATATTAGATTGAGAAAGGGTCATGAAACAGATACATAAATCTGAGGCTAGGCCTAAAAAAGGTTGTAGCGCCACTGATTTATTTTGTATATCAATGAAAAACGTCTGTTTGAGTGACGAAACAGTTTATTTAATAAGACCTATACAAGAAAAGTTGTCAATTGTAATATTTTTACGATAAAATAATATATTTGGAAGATATGTACAGCTTATTATATTACAACAGAGATAAAATGTAGGCTGTTTTCATTATGTAAATCAACATTTATTCAAAGTTATCAAAGCGTAGCTTGGTAAACACCAAGATGAAAACATTAAATAAATGTTAAAAGTTCTCAAAAGCCCGCCCGTGTACAAATTCCTACGTCTAATCACCAATTTCTCGGTTTTCAATTTGGCATAACAACACGCCCTAGAGATTACGCTGTGATTATTTACATCCCAAAGCAACCGAACGGTATCTAACGAATTCGGGACATTAAATAATACAAATTGAGTTGAACCACAGAATGTAACAGGCCCTCGGAAACTATTGACAGTGTGTGGATGCGATCACATTTAAGCTGGGGATTATGAAAAGACCAAAATAGACGCCTGAAATCCTAATGGATTAAGGGATTTTGTGTTCCGTCCGACGACGCGGTACAAAAATATCGAAGAGCGCCGGATGCAACGATTAGTCTAAACATTCAGATATTGAGCACCTTCGTGTTGCCATAAAAAAGGTATCTTGTTTTTGCCTCATGTGTATGGTTTTAGGGAAAGCTGTCTAGGGAAGAGACTATTAATATTTATTTATAGATTTCAAGATTAGAGGTGATCCTAGTAATAAATAATTTCTTAAGAAATGTCGATTTAAAAGTTTAAATATTCAGAATCTGTGTATCATAAATTGATAAATGAATAACGTAAAGCCTTATATTTTTCGTAATGAATACGTTGGAATTACAACAAGCGAGTAATGAAAACATTTTGATTGCAAACCGTCAAATATAAGAAATGATACAAGGGCGCGACAGTCAAACGTAAATAGAATTTTATCTAACAGTATATGATAAACTTCTTCAAATATAACATTAAAAATACTTGCATTGACGAAACGGAGTGTTGCTTTCATAACTATTTGCTTTTAAATTACTTGTTGTAAATACCATACACCCTGCCCTTACGTAGAGATATAGAAAAAATCAAGTAGCTGATATTTTATTAATTATAATGATATCCTTACCCTAACTCTCGCCTCTGTTAAATTCGTCCACATAGCTATCTCTTCCCTCGTCGACATATCTGGGTAACGATTTCTTGCGAAGGTGGCTTCCAACTCTTGTAACTGCTGGCTGGTAAAGTGAGTTCTCTGCCTTCTTTGCCTCTTATTCTTCTTGTCTCCTTTATCGTCCATAGGCTCATCGGGTCCAACACCGGGGGTCGTCGATTCAGTTTTTATCGTAGCTTCCGTCATGGGTCGATCTGAAGAGATAATTATAATTTAGTAAGGTAAATTTAAATTTCTTCTCATGTTCAGGATTTCAGTTTCTTAAGCGTGACTTTGATAATAATAAGGGTCGAAGTTATTATAGGCAACGATTTCAGGTAGCTTTTTTTATTCTGTGAGATTTTTTTTCTATAATAATCGACATTAAAAATTTTGTAGAAATTAGATCAGTCTTTACTGTACCTCCCAATGAATAAGCTTATATATATATATATATACACAGTTTTAAAGAGATGAATATATATTAAGATTTTTTTGTTTGTAACATAATTAAACCTTCTTTAAAAGCATAACAACACGTCAGACTTTTTTATTTTAGTTTTTGTAAAATAAAACACAATTAGAAAAAGCATAATTTATAAAATTTATTCAATCACAATACGTGTAAAAGCGTATATAAAACTTGTGAATCATGGTATAGCCGACTAATACCGGGATTACGGCGCAGACGCAGGAGTTTACGACAGCTGTAAATTCGTTTTTTCTCAATGATCAACGTAAAATAAAATAATTTATATTTACTATAACAATTTATTTTCTACATCCTCATTTTATATAAATTATTCCTATTTTCGTTCAAAAGTTTAGGTTAAGTAAGAATTGGAACATGTAAAATGCGAGTTTTCTCTCCCATAGCAGAAAATAATAGAATAATAAACATTCAGTTGTTAGAGACATTAGGAGGACTCCTTCCAGATTAGCTAATTATCCTAAACATTTCAATAATATAATTATTATGTCATTAAAACACACTCGTAGCAGCTTAATAAGCTGATGCGCGCTTTTGTGCTGATTTGGAGGAATTATCCAACCTATTTTTAAAAGAGTTCAAAGACGGTGCACTAACACTACCTAACTAGCCCATTCAAGTCAGCCTATAATGTGTAATAAAATCAAATTTATATTAAAATCTTTTTGACCCTGTTACCAATCATCAAATATATATATATTATACTTCATATGTCATATAATACTCTTATATCGTTATGACTACACGAATAAGATACAGAGTCGAGTAATACTTCCCGACAAACTCGACTCTGAATTCAATTATTTTATACTGTACGTAAGATTTCGTTGCAAGGTATCAGTTTGATTTTCAAATTTCAAAGGTAGAACAGTGATATGGCGTTATTACATCAATACGTTACTGATAACGTAGCGATGGCAATCAGGCCGTATATTGGGCTTAGTTAAAGCCTTGTGTCAATACACCGATTGCATTGTTTACTATTTACCGAGAAGAGTTACTATTTACGGGAAGAGTTTAGTGAAAGAAGAAATTATCTGGAGACTAATTGTGAACTAACTTTTCTTTTCAACTTTTTTTTTAATTTGGAGGAGGACCAGTACCTACACTATTTCGGTAGCAATAGATAGTCCTACCACAATTACGCATTATATTAACTGACAGGTGACAGATGGATCAAGAAGTTCTTTAGTTGGAATGGCCTGGTGGAAAGAAAAAAGGGAGGACGCCCACCAGAAACCTGCAAAGATGGAATAAAAGGGATAGTGGGTAAGAATTGGAAAGTTGTGGCGAGAATGCGAGACAAGTGGAAGAATTTGAAGGAGTCCTTCACTCCGTTGGAGGTCGAGTACTAAGTAGAAACATAATGACAGAGACTTAACTTAATGTAATATGTAATGTAAATATGTAAATGTAGTACTCGAATAAATCTTTTTTATTATATTTTCCGGAGAGAGCAAGCAAAAATTAATTGTTAGTACAATTCAGTAAATTACTATTTAGTTCAATATTACCATACAACAATGCTTAACATGCCATTTATAGATATGCTAGCTTCTGAGAGTTCTCTATTTGTTGTTTGGAGATGTAATAAATTTTACCAATTACCCAAAATTACCACTAAACTTGACATTGTCTATGATGTATTGTCTTTATGAAGAGCACAAGTATAAATATATGGAAAAAGCTCCTTGTAACGCCCATTTACATCCAAAATCTCATTTTCTCCTGTTTTGTGTTATTATGATGTAAATAAAGAATTATTATTATTATTGTTATTATTAATGATGAATGAATATCGGATAACCGAACCCAGTGTTAATATAAGTAAACATTTAAATACGTTCACGTTATATTTAATCGGAAGCTAGCATCCTTTACTTGTATAAATATGCAATTTCTTATTTTACCAAAAACAAACTAAAAAAGCCTTTAATGCCGTGTAAATAATTAAACGCGCTAATCTGAGTATGACAGTAAGACATGTCACATTTTTCAAATATTTGTATGAAATCTGCATATAATAAACTAAATTTTCATTAATAATAACGTATTTGATAAAAGTTTTGGGAAAAACCACTGGAGTGTTGTAATTCACTTCGTATCAACAGTTTATGATTTAAAACGTACGCGATCAGATTATTATGGACAATTTAATTTATTTGTTTATCTTGATTGATAAATTTGTATAACATGTTCAGGTCACACGCAAAAGATTGTATAAACTGCCACTGGCCATGTCATTCAGGAATCTATCGGCGGTTTAAAAAGTTATTCTGTTCCAAATTCAAAATTCATTGATAATACTCCTTGTGTTACGTTGACATATGAAAATAATCAATCAAGGTTATACACGTTGTGAACAAGTAGGATTAATATTTCAGGTTGGGCTGGGCTACCTCAGCGATACGTCGATACCGATAGGAGTGATAACGCTTATCACGGCGCTTTGAGTCCTCGCCGACCCATCCATCATTCGTAACAACCTTTGCGTTCGGCCGACACGACACAAGGTAACTTAATAGTTAACATATATAACACTTACAGCGATAACTATTAAGTACTTATGTAATGTTGCATCTTTTTTTTTTTATATCCAATGACGAATTTAATCATGTTTACTTTTCGTCACTAGTGCCTTGAATGAGCTCTGAATTTCACTACGTATGAGAATTTAAACAGAATAAAACTCAGGACCTTAGAAAGAAGGACGATCTTGCTCTCTTTATATTCGAGCGTAAGATTCTTCGAAGATTTTTGGCCCTGCTTGCGACGACGGTGTTTCGCGTATTCGCCACAATGAAGAACTTTATAACATCCTTACGCCAACATCGTCCAATTCATAAAATTCAACAGGCTCAAGTGGTAGGGACATGTACACCGAATGGCGGACGACAGAGCCCCAAGATTACGGACCTGAACTCACAACCTGGTAGCAAGAGAAAACCCGGTAGACCGAGGCTGCGTTGGTGGAATGGAGTTGTCAAAGACCTCGAAACAATAGGTGTTCGAAATTGACTGCAACGGCGAAATATACTTGAGGAGGTTAAGGCCTACAAAGGGCTTTATAGCTATTGATGATGATGACTATGGTGAGGATTTAAATCATATACTAAAGATGTCGCCTTTTAAAGACTGCCCCAGCAAGTAGTGTAATGTTTTCAGAGTTCATTAAATGTGCACACCTGCCTCTCGATTACCATCAAAAAGCCTACCTAGTGCCTGGAATCTTTAGCTGTGCGGAGAACGAGTTTTGACAATGTAACAAATAACAATATATTTAAGGACCACTATTCATATATACCATAGGTTAGAAACATAGTCTTTATTTAATGCAAAACCTTTATCTTAATAAACCTATATATAATTACGAACCATAATAAATGAATGCATCCACACCGTATTTTTGTTATATTTTTTAAATTGCTAACAGTCAGCTGAAATAATTAGCCCGGAAGATATCATAAGGTCGAATATAGGAGAAAGCGCCAGAGAGCGATGTTTGTGGAAGTCTTAAAATGAACAGATGTATTTGCTGATAGATTTGAACGCTTTACTCGGTGTACGTAGTTTTAATTTTCATCGTGTGTGACTTTTTATGATGACGAATAAAAAGTATTGACGAAGTTGAGTGATGAGCCTAAATTAAAGAAAGAACAAGAAAACAAACTTGACAATAACTTCTACATAACCCATTTTATAATTAAATTTGGTTGTACAATAAGAATATTTCCTGTTTCAGCATAGGACAGGTTGAGAAGATGTTGTTTAAGAGTTTTAGTACGTAATGTGAGTTCTGAAATGTTAGTGAAAATTTTGTTTTTAAGAAATTAGTTAAAGGTGAAAGGGCCTCTGATAAATTTATATATTACGATGCACAATACAAATTTCTATTGTGTTGACTCTTAAAGAAAGTGTTCTAATTTTTTTATAACAATGATCATTCGTGGTTGTTCCTTAGTAACTACATTTATAGTTAAGTACCTACTCAAGGTAATTAAAGTAGCTCCGATTTCTATATCAAAAATACCATTCGTTACTGCGGATATTACGAGTACGTTCAAAGCAAATCAGTTGTTCAGAAAATTTTGTCTACTACACGTTTTTCAATATTACTATTAGTATTTCCGTATATCAGTATAGTCTTAGTACAACTTACTGTCGTCCGTATGTTTTCTGTCTCTTCTTGGTCTTGGTGGTGCATATAATGACTGGTCAACACCAGACCCGCCGGAGGTCAGGGAGGAGTGGCCACTGTCCCGGAACTCCCCTGTTTCAGCCCATACTGAAATAAAACACTGTATTCAATATAAAATCTAATAAATTACAAAATTGTGAAAATATTCTAATAAGCATAATAATTTCGTTGTATTTGTAGATTGAGATATTAAAAAAATATAATCAAGGGCGCTAAAACCTTTTAAGGTCTGGGCCTCAGATTTCTGTATCTGTTTCATGATCATTTGTCAATCTAATAGGTGATCAGCCTCCTGTGCCTAATACAAGTTGTCGAACGGTGAAGAAAAACATCGTACAACAACAACATGTACTGTAGATTGGTGCACAGCCGGGGATCGAACTTACGTTCTCAGGCATAAAAGTCGCACGCTGAAGCCTACACTGCTCTTCTTTTTTTTATTTTTCTTATCAATTGATAAAAGATACATACTATCCGCGCGAGAGTGCTGGTGACTGGCTAACATTTGTCTTTTAAGTCATTTTATCGGCACCAGCGACTCACAAAGGAAGCTACATACGACTATTCAGCTAAAAATTTCAGGGCAGTTTCTAAAACTTCATCACTGATATATGGTGAACATAATTAAAAGATACATATTTGTTATAGTACGGGAGGTAGCAACGTTTGAAAAGAAAGAATTTTAGGTCAGCTGATTTTGTGATATGTCTTCCTTCTTGCACTTTCGGTTAGAGTCTTGGCAATCTGGCTGGCGGTAGCGGTTGCGTTCTTTAGTGCGCATCCTATCTGTCCAGGTAATATCCTGGATTTTAAAAGCATTTTAAGAAGCGTAATTTTTAATTTTTCGTATTTAAATAAGTCTACCTGACATACTTTTTTTATTGCCAGACATTTTTCACATTGCTAACTATGTGCCAGACGCGATTTTAAGTTTCTTTTTTATAAAAATTTCAAAGTATTTTAGAATGCCTGTAATTTTAATATTATGTTATTTAAATATTATAAGAAAAACTAAAAATGAATTTGCCAGACATTAATTCGATTGTTAAGCCTTGAATTAAAATGAAAATGTCATGAAAAGTATTGCAGTATGATGAAGCATTACATTTTAAGAAGCGTTATTTTTATTTTTTTTGTTTTGTTCAGAATCAGAACAGCATACCTATAACAACTTCTGCGTCAAAATCGATTTGGCAAATATGAAAAAGAATCCTTGAATCAGATTCTTCGTGTTCTTCACACGATAATGATTCTTCAATAGTTTTAATTACTTACTTAGTTATTTATCACTTTGTATGAATAACATTTATTAAAACTTACGTAAATGTTTTTATTACCAATGGAAGGCATCATACTGAAATACTTTTTCATTTTAATTCTAACTTAACAAGACTTAACAATCAAATTATTGTCTGGCAAATTCATTTTTAGTTTTTCTAATTATTAAATAACATAATATTAAAATTACAGATATTCTAAAATACTTTGAAATTTTTATAAAAAAAAACTTAAAATCGCGTCTGGCACATAGTTAGCAATGTGAAAAATGTCTGGCAATAAAAAAAGTATGTCAGGTAGACTTATTTAAACATGAAAAATTAAAAATTACGCTACTTAAAATGCAATGCTTCATCATAGACTGCAATACATTTCATGACTTTTTCATTTTAATTCAAGGCTTAACAATCGAATTAATGTCTGGCAAATTCATTTTTAGATTTTCTTATATTTAAATAACATAATATTTAAATTACAGACATTCTAAAATACTTTGAAATTTTTATAAAAAAAAACTTAAAATCGCGTCTGGCACATAGTTAGCAATGTGAAAAATGTCTGGCAATAAAAAAAGTATGTCAGGTAGACTTATTTAAAAAGGAAAAATCAAAAATTACGCTACTTAAAATGCAATGCTTCATCATACTGCAATACTTTTTCGTTTTAATTCAAGACTTAACAATCGAATTAATGTCTGGCAAATTCATTTTTAGTTTTTCTAATATTTAAATAACATAATTTTAAAATTACAGACATTCTAAAATACTTTGAAATTTTTATAAAAAAAAAATTTAAAATCGCATCTGGCACATAGTTAGCAATGTGAAAAATGTCTAGCAATAAAAAAAGTATGTCAGGTAGACTTATTTAAACATGAAAAATTAAAAATTACGCTTCTTAAAATGCAATGCTTCACCATAGACTGCAATACATTTCATGACTTTTTCATTTTAATTCAAGGCTTAACAATCGAATTAATGTCTGGCAAATTCATTTTTAGATTTTCTTATATTTAAATAACATAATATTTAAATTACAGACATTCTAAAATACTTTGAAATTTTTATAAAAAAAAAAACTTAAAATCGCGTCTGGCACATAGTTAGCAATGTGAAAAATGTCTGGCAATGAAAAAAGTGTCAGGTAGACTTATTTAAAAAGGAAAAATCAAAAATTACGCTTCTTAAAATGCAATGCTTCATCATACTGCAATACTTTTTCGTTTTAATTCAAGTCTTAACAATCGAATTAATTTCTGGCAAATTCATTTTTAGTTTTTCTTATAATATTTAAATAACATAATATTAAAATTACAGACATTCTAAAATACTTTGAAATTTTTATAAAAAAGAAACTTAAAATCGCGTCTGGCACATAGTTAGCAATGTGAAAAATGTCTGGCAATAAAAAAAGTATGTCAGGTAGACTTATTTAAAAACGAAAAATTAAAAATTACGCTTCTTAAAATGCTTTTAAAATCCAGGATATTGGCTGGACAGATAGGATGCGCACTAAAGAACGCAACCACTACCGCCAGCCAGATTGCCCAGACTCTAACCGAAAGTGCAAGAAGGAAGACATATCACAAAATCAGCTGACCTGAAATTCTTTCTCGAAAACGTTGCTACCTCCCGTACTATTAAGAGGAAATGACGCCCCGTCGCTTAAGAGTTAATTACCAATCCCCGAACGCTTGTTAACTAATTAGCCGCTTGACACCGTGTGTGTTCACCCTTATTTATTATTTTAAGTTTTAATATACTACTAATCGTTGATTTATTTTGATACAGTGTTTCAAGTAAAATGTATTTTCTTTTACCACAGATTATATAGTTTTTCTTAATGTCGCTTATTCGCCAACCAACATTCTGCTATTATATTATTGTATAGATAGATATCAATTGTTACAGCATTGCATTTAAGAAACAAAAAAAATTCGTTGCCATAATAAAGCAATAAAAAGCAAAAAGCACTAAATATTGACAAGATCTTAAGCAATTCTACATAATTATAATTATTATAGAAGCGTGAACTCCAAACGAATGAATCCTAAAGTTCATTGACCCCAAACGGTCGCAAGAAAAATCTGTAAGACATTTCCTTTGCAACCACAATTTAATTAAATTAATACTTTGTTACTGCGAATTATATCAACACTGCTCCGAGTTGTATTTTATTGGAATTTATTGTTTTTTAACATTGTCAGTCTGATCCCATTGTTTTGTCAGAAGTCACGATCTGACAATTGATGCTAAATTAACTGTTTGGAGATTGAAGCAAATTTTTGATTATTTTTAACTTTTGTAATATTCGTTTGTTTTTATTTACATGAAATATATTTTGATCATTCTACATACAGCGTAAGTAACCTAAATTAAACACGCGTTAAAAAACAAAATTATTTTTAAAAAGGTATCATTTTGATTAGTACCGACAAACGCGTTGCCGTAACCAATACCAAGTCAATAAAATATACTTTTACTAAAAAATTAACTCAATCAGAATATTGTTCACATTTTTTTAATATTATTTGCCTTTCTTTGATATGTTTACTGTTCTTCTATTGTTTTATAAAGGGACGAGCAATCGTTAATTAAGAATTACGTATGTACGTACTTGTGTCTTGTAAATACAGAACAAACCATTGGTCCAGGGTTTGAATTTACAACCCAAGTATGAGACGAGAGACAAGAGACAGCCGTTGAACCACAAGACCAATACTGCTTACATTCATGTACTGTATTATTATTTTATTTCTTAGAAACAAGACAACAGTTTTTCCGCAATACACAAACGTAATCTCTCAATACTTTTATGACTTAATTGTCGTATTTAATGAATATTAAAACGTGACATTGAAATGTATGAATAATACAGAACTCTATATAACATTACAGCTAAAATATATATTTTTTGTTTTGCCGCAGAAGGCTGTTTATCTGACTATAGCTGAAGGAGTGGATGGGGGTCTAATTAAGTGTTTTAATAAGAAATAACTTATTGTAATTAGGCCGGTAATATTATACTTAGGTTTAGGTTTATCTACAATTTTGTTTTGTTGTCTTTAATAGTCTCTGATAATTTCTAATAATTATTCAAATTGTGTTGTTCGATTGGTAAAATTAATTCTTAAAATACATTTATTTTATTTACATCAAGAAATCGCTCGAAAGGGATAAGGCCACTAAAAGCCCTGCACTCCTTTTTATTTGATTATTTTAATTGTACTGTATTTCTGTATCACTGCAACGAACTGTTTTTTTTTATGGCTCTGGCACGATTTGTGCATTAGCTAGCGTCAAGTATAGGATTTTTTATAATTCGTGCTTGTCTTTAGAAATTCGACCGTGTCCTCCATGTACGGTTTAGGCACTCGCCCGGTACCGCACAACCCTCCCAAAGGCCGAGAACAAATTTAAATTAAAACTTGCCCTCGAACCGGGAATCGAACCCGGTACCCCTCACCTAGCTGCCTCTTCATAACACCGCTAGGCTATGAGGCCCCTCAAGGAACTGTTAATAAATAAATAAAACACAATTTGGTAAACATCCTCATAAAAGCTTTGAAACATGTTCATTGTCATTGTCACATTTATAAGGATACATTCAGCTACATAAACCTTACATACACTTTTAAAGTTAGAAGTTCAAGGAGAGACTGTCCTAGATCTTTCATGTTAGAAGTCTATGCCGTCATGTTTTCTTATATCTCAAAGAATAGTTATTCTAATTATGGTTTTAGAAAATAAACGTCGGTTTCTACAAACGTATGGTACAAACGACACGTACAAATAAATTTAATGTTTGCTGCTTTGATAACGTGTGATAAGCACATTGTTTTATTGGGGCTGTAAAGACTATACGGTGTGGGACAGTCGCGAAAAAAGTGTTTTATAATTACTAGTTTAAAAAATTATACAATAATTATATATTTGCAAACTATATTTTTAAATATAGCTCTATGTCTATCTGTAAATAGGTAATGTCTTGAAGTATTTTAATTTTAGAAAAAAATTCAGGATCGATAAAACAATCTAGGAATTTCGTTAACGTTATCTAAGACGTTTAAAAACCAGAGCCCTAAGTAATTATACTCCTTTGAATTTGGATGTAGAATCATTTATACAGAGATTATACCTATACTATTTATATTATGAAGTATTCAAGGAATAATATTGGCATCAATTTACGCCCTACTATAATCGTAAATTCTTTGTCGTCGATGTT